GGTTCCTGAAATGAACTGCGCCCCTGTACTTCCCCTCCCCTGCTTGCATGCAACAGTAAGAATAACTTATTCTATTTTGCTTAGGTGCCTTTAGGATGACTCTACCCGGGTGTTGCAAAGCAAGTTCACCGCCTCTCTTTGCCCGGGGCTAAACTTCGAAGTGGTGCTGGGCAAGCTCCCTGGACTGAAGGCCTTCAGCCTGCCAAACTTCAAAGAAGATAAGCACAAACCATGAACACTACTCTGGGTTGCTGTTAAGGAACTTAAATTAAGTTACTATATTGGGGAAATCCTTTTATTTACTATACATACCCATTATGGTAACTTAATTTAAGTTCCTTAACAGCAACCCAATTACTTTCATGCTCCCCTCCCCCAAGAATCTTAACAACCTAATTAATTCCTGAAGAAGGGCACCATGACAGACTGATGCCCTTTGAAGCCAGGGCATATCTGAGGCTCCATATTCATGTGGGGAGCGGGGTTACCCCAAAGAAGCCCAACCTCTGAACCCTAAATCCTAAATCCTAAACCCAATAAGCCCAGACTCACATCTTGACCGAGTGCATGGCCTGGTAACATCCGGTAGGACCCAGCGCCGCCGCAAGCCCTGGCTCGTTGTCGTTTGCACTGGAGCTTTGGGTTTCGATCCCCTAAGGCCCATGGGACTTAGTAAATACGTATAACTGGGATTATGACCCTATCTATAGCTGGGAAACCCCTATAAGCCCATTTAGGGGAATTCAAGGTAGAATTCTAGGCCCAGTTATAAGTAGTTACTAAGTCCCATGGACCTCCAAGCTAGCCTTTCACAAAAAAAACAGCTCTCAGGCTTTCAGTATCCAAGGTACATCTCGCAGGGTTAAGGGTTTCGGGTTTCAAGGCTTGGTTTCTAAAGGGTGGATGGAGTCGTTAGAATCCTGAATGATTACCATATCATTTCTAGTCCGTTTAAGGTACCCTATAATTACCATCATGATATAATTGATCAACAATCTGGGGCCATACGGATTATTGCTGGTTATTTAGGCGGGTTTAGACTTTGGGGACAGCACCTGTGCCAACTCGAAGCTTGCCTGCTGCGAATGCTGCTAACCTGGATGACCTCAGCCCTGCATCCTAAACAGAAGCAACAATCCAAAACCCAAAGCCCTGACCCCTAACCCAGAACCTGCGGAGGATCTAGAAAGTAGATCAAGGATTGCAAGTGACAGTATAGGGTACCATATTGGCGGTTCGACTTTAAACCCTAAACCCAAAACTGGTTCTGGCAAGCAGTCGTCTTGCCGGCCTTCAGCCTCCACCATGCGCTGAAGCATCGCATAGCTCGAAGAAGGTCCACGGCCATTATTCCTCAGTAGGGACCCTAGGGTTTAGGGGTTTTAGTTCCGGGCTTGGGGTTGAAGTTTAGGGTTCAGGGTTTAGGAATTAGGAGTTAGGAAGCCTACTCCTAAAGTGTTACGATAGGGAGTATAGTGGCTTTGAGATTGAGAAGTGGATGTCATCTATTACCTGATCCCACGGTCCCGCAAAATCAGAAGAGCGTAGCAAACCTTGGGAATTTGAGAGTTTCGGGTTTTAGGAGTTTTGGCTTTTGGATTCTAGTGATGCAGGCTTCTAGAATTCTACGGGTTTGAGCCTCTACGGATAAGGGCCCTGGTTTCATCATGTAATTTGAGATAAGCTAAAGTGGACCGCTTACCCCCCTCCCCTAACATTGAAACCGGCGACCCCCTCACGTTAAATATTCATGAATGGGAATATTCAACATTAGAGGGGTGGGGGTATTAGCATGACCGAAGGAGTTACCTCACCCTAAACGCGAATTGCCCAAAAGCTTCTGGGAGATTAACAACTCTGCTGCGAGGATGGGAGCTTCACAGAACCGACGGGGCCGCTAGGGACCCTAGAGATACATAGTTTAGGTTGGGCCTCCACCCACTAATAGTGACCACAAGAGGTAATGGCAATTATGTTAAGTCCTTATATATTCCTGTCATACCAATATTAGTGGGTGGGGGCCCAACCCCATACATAGCTACATAGGGATTATGATGGGGTTATGGAGTGTCCTTACTAGGCCTTCTGTGGAGGCGGATCTGAAAAACTCCCGGATCATGACCAATGGCGTTTAAACGCTGGCAAGAGCCGCCTTTAACCAATCCGCACGGCAATGTTAACAATGCCAGTAGTAGTAACTAACAATATCAACGCTCGGCCGGAGCGTAAACG